ATATGCAAATGACGCCACGTTATAATATATCAATAATTATTGAGCACAAAGCAACCCTATTTAGCAATTTTAAAACTGTCTAATAGATGTAATGATTTAGATCATATATGCGAAGCTAAAAACATATAAATAAACGGGAATTTGAGCTATTCCTAATCTTCACTTCGGTGTCTAAACAAAAAAAAAAAAAACTGACATTTAAATCATAAAATTCTATATCTAGCAAAAGGTTAAACATGAGCGAATTTCAATCCAGTTTTTTAGTTAATCCAACTCATGCATGCGTCTTTATTAATTCCGGAAATGATCCCATGATCCAAAATCAGGTGATCGACGATCCACGACAACTTATTAAACTTCCATTTCCACCAGAAATTAATCCCAAAGATTTGGTTATTTTACATCCTGATGGTCGTATTCCTAAACCACCTAATGCTTTTATTATCTACCGAAAATTATTTGTTGAAACTGCTCGTGCTGGCGGTTATAGCTTGCCAATGAATATTATATCTTCAATGGCATCTCGATCATGGGAACAGGAATCAGATGAAATAAAAAATGAATATAAAAGAATAGCAAAAGAAGCATTTGTTTATCGTAATGAGTTATTCCCTAAAGTAAAACCTCAAAAGAAAAGAACTCAATGGAAAACTGTTTCATTTGATAAACCTTCTAATCGTAAGGCTAAAATGAATAAACCTATGAGATCAGTCAATAAGCCCACAAAACATCAACAACTTGAATCATCCGCATTTAATCCTGATATTATTCTTGACGAAAATTTGTTGTCTTCCGAATTTTCACCCGACTTTTCAATTGAATCATCTTCTGAATTGTTTAGTGACTTAAATGTTATTGATACGAATTCACCAATCTTTAACATTGATTTATTTGCTGATTGGGCCGATTTCCTTAATGATCAAAATACTTATCCTAGTCCCGATTTATCAACTCCTAGCAACTATAGTTCTCCTAGTATAAATGATGATTTGGAATTTGATTTAGAAATCTCTTCTCCAGTTCAATGCTTTGATTTACCAATTCAAGCAGATCACCAAATCAATGATGATATCATAAATAACCTTTTATACATTAATGAAGACCAATCAATTATTTATGATAGTCAATATGGACTTGGAATTTTCGATTTCTCTAATGAAATTCCTGAAATAAATTCACATGATCTACATGAAATATTTAATATACAAAATACATGCATTCCTGATCAACCATCGTTCTCTTCTAATTTATTAAATACATCAATAAATCAGGATTATTCAAATGATGCATTAATTGCTTATGAGATGGGTTTTTAACCATACTCTCGGAAAAGATTATACACTCTAAAAAGTGTTACGTATAAAAAAAAATTATTATGAGATGGGTTTTTAACCGCACTCTGAAAAAATTTATACACTCTAAAAAGAGTTACGTATAAAAAAAATTATGAAATAATATTTATGAATTTATAAGAACACTCTTTTCATTATGCTATTATGATTCTTACACACCTATGTACCTATATCATTAAGTTTTTTTTTATAAATATTAATTCTTATGCAATATTCTGAAAAATTATGATATGGAAAATAAGCATTATTGAAAAAAAAAACAAAATCTTAAAATGTATATAGTGTTTTACATAGATATTTTGTATTTTATTTGTATAATTTCATCTGCATACTGTTAATAATAAATTACATATTATATTATATATTAATAAAAAATGAAATCAAAACTTGAAAATTATTATAAGTCTTGAGACCGCTTTATAAAAATTTTACAGTCAAATCTTATTTTGTATAAAAAATATTAAGAGTCATTTTATTAAAGTAAATATAATAAGAGATTGGAACTTTTAGGATCTAAGGTTTGGTTATTTAAAGTAAAAAATGCTATCACACTGAACGTAATTAACCATCTTTGCTATTTTGTGAGTACAGTAATAGATAAAATCATCATGGTAGAAAATTTTGCGACCAAATTCCCTATGTTAAATCAGATAAATATCGCACACAAAATACATAAGTATATCTAGAAACATGATTATCCAAATCTTGCAAAATGCACATTAAAGTTTAAAACTTGGTACTCAGGATATTAAATTTTGTATATTTATTGGTCAAATTCATGAAATAGCGAAAATTTTTTGCTACGATTATTCTACCTGCGAATGATCAAGGTTCTTAATAAAAAAATAAACTTATGAATCGGGTAGGCGAGTCGCTAAATAAGCAGTATATTTTAAAATCTCATTTACCGCTATGTTCCTAATTTCTCTTCTAATGTAACGTAAAAATTGCGAAAAAATCGTTTTTTCAAAATCAATAGCAACTTAAATCTTGCTAATAAAAGCATCTTTTATGACCCAACAAAATTTACTTATGCCTTGCCAGATCTTAATATATATTTATCATAACTGTGTTTTATCACTTTAATACGTGCGCGCCATA